AAAGGTGCTTTGTGAAGTCTTATGAGAATAAAAATAGCTTCAGGATTTTAGTGTCAGCTGGAGTTTTTAAAGTGCATTTGAGCCTCCTCCCTTTGTGTTATAAGAGAAATGCAAATGCCAAGAGGCGTAAAAACATTTGAGGATAGATGGTTGGATGAGTAAGGCACTTGTCTGGGATCCAGGATCTCCCAGCTCACGTCCTGGAGCTGCCACAGACTTCTAGTACTTCTTCAGCATTCATTCTTCGTGCCTCAATCTCCTATTTGTAAATGGGGATAACTGTTCCTCTGTATTGGTCTCTCTTGTTATGTTTAAACGTATAGGGGAAAGGGACTGTGTTTTTTTCTGGTACAACGGGGCCTCCATCTCCATTTTGCTTGTCCCCAGTAGAAATTACTAAAAAGATTGTGGGAAAGAAATGTTGTTTCCACGTAGGGTTCAAGAAGTACAGAAAAAGCTCGGCTGCAAATTTCAGAGGAAATACGAACATTGAGAACTTTCTCAGATGATATGCAGTCGGAAATCTTGGGGTTTTGGCATAAGATCCATTTTAGGAAACGCAGAAAAAAAAAAATAGCAAGCAGTGGACAGGCTATTTTCTGTTTTGTTTTGTCTTTTTTTTTTTTTTTTTTCAGTTCAGTAACATACAGCTTTACCTATTGTTAGCAGTGGCGATGGCTATCATCTTAAATATGTTAATTTTGCTTTAAGAGTGTCCCTTCGATACTGAATATTAAAATTATGTCAAAGAATTCTCTTAATTGAGATTTTTTTCTGGGCAGAGGCCAAGGGTTCATTCAGTCGTTGCTTTTGGAGTTTTGGTTTTAGGCACCACTGCCAGTTCCTTTGTGTAATCTTGCAACTTCAAAGACAAGGAAGGAGGGAGGTGGGCAGGAAAGCATTTAGGAAAATGATGTCTACCTCTTTGAGTATCTCAATGAGCATGAAGTGTTGTTCATGGATTGGATAATCTTAAGAAGAGCATGCCTTTTGCCCTAGAAGACTGCTTCCCATCTTGTGGTCTGTGGGTCTGAGAGACATAAAAAAGTCATATGTGAAATGATGACAAAACATGAGTTTTCACTTCAGGAAAACATACGTGGATGTTACCACGTGATCAGGTAAATATGTAAACAAAGTTAGGAAAAATCAATCTTTACATGAATATTCAAAATGCGGCTTAGTTCTTGATTAAAAAAAAAAAAAAAAAAAAATTACCATGGCAAAGCTGCATGAGGGCCTGTGATATTTTTTTCTCCAAAATGTTGCTTGGATGAAAATGATTGGGAAATGCTGATAGTGACAAAGAAACAAACTCATAAACAATTTAGCTTCAGTTTTCCCAGCTGAGCCTGGGAACGCAAAACCGGGTTGAAAAATACACTGGCAAGGTTTTAATTATGATTTTAATCATGAAGCTTGAACAAACCTCTCACTACCAGTACATCAACTGCCCCCTCATGCTGTTTTCCCAGGCCTGATGGAGGGGCCCTGGGAAAGCAGTCTGATAGCAGATGAGAGAACATACTGATCAGTGCAACTTCAGTCAGCGCTACAAGTGCTTGACATTTCGGAAAAAACAAGATCGCTTGCTTTGCTGTCTTTATCTGGGAGCAGGTGATCAGGTTCAGACTGTCAGTTTGTCATCTTAAGCTCTTTGTGGCTAAGCCCTTGTTTGTTTTGCGCTCTCGGAAGTGCCACTCAGTCTGATGGCAGAGTTAATAACGTCGTGTGATTTCGACTGAGCACAGATTGCTCCTGGAATGGGTTATCTGGAAATAGTGCGGTACCCAGGTTCCAGCATGCAGATGCCAGAGAGTTTCTTTCTGCCCATCTGCCTAGGCAACGAGCTGGGCTGTGTGACAGTCCAGCTCTGGGAACCACGGCCAAGCTGGGCTGCGGTTGAATCCCTTGCTTCATCCGCCCTCACGGCAAATCGGGAAAGGCATCAGTAGAACTACTGAGAGAAAACAATCGGAAAAGAAAGGGAACGGTCTGAGGGCAAAGGAAGCGGGAGGAAAGGTGGGGAGGCTGGGGAAGGAAGCAACAGGGAGACTGTGAAGTTGAGAACCGAGATGTGAAGCACAGACAGGAAAGGGTTCATCACTAATGGGCTCGCTGTATGGAGAGACATTCAATTTGCTCAAAATCAGTACAGTTACACCGGTGAGGAACCTGCCCTGACCTGTTCATGGCTTCCCAACATTGCAGTTTCTGCCTCTGAAAACTCCAGCCTCTCAGAAACGTCACGGAGAGACTATTCAGGTTATGATACAGATGATGTAATATTCAAGGGACAGACCCTTCAGACAGTGGAAGGGCTGCAGCTCTAGGCACTTGTGAAACAGGAGAAAGTGGCTTTAGTGTTTTGGGCTAAACCGCGGAACTATTTCCTTGTTCTGATGTCAGTTCAGTGTTGTATTTCTCAAAAACCAAGTAGAACAGCCCTCTCACAAGTTTATCTATCACAAAATTGTTTTTATCCGGGGTTGCTTTTATGCTTTAAGTTCACGGAGGATATACTATATCCTTTATACATAACAAAGAATGCAAACCCCAGCTTTAAATGCAAAACTCACTTCAGTGCTGGCTGGGATTCACAAAGCAGTTCCTTCATGACAGTGAAAGCACTATAAACTCGGGAAGCTAATTTTCAATAGTGGCCCCTTAAATTGCACAGTTGAGCATGTAAGAGCACTATTGTGTCTACGCGAGCATGTGGAAGACTTGAAAGCTAGGGTCACATATAGTTGACTTTTGTTCATTTACAAAACAGTTTCATAGACTCAGGATGGAAAACAGAAAACACATACAAGTCTTAGGATACATTGTCCTGTACTTTTTTTTTTTTTTTTTTTCCAAAATATCAGAATAATGATGTCACTGGAAAAGGGGGGGAGAGGAGGGACGTTGTTGGAATAATGCCAAGAGTGCCCATGATGAGGAAGGGATCTTGTCTATAGAATTTGGAGCTGTTTAAAATACCATGGTGTTTTGGGCAAGACTAAGCCTACTCAGTTTCCTAGAAACCCTCTGCATGAGGTCTGAGCATCAGGTCGCAAAGCAGGGACAGGAGCTGGGCGGCTGGGCAGATATACACAGAGTTTCGCGGTTTATTCACCAGGGACACAGCAAAATTGCCTGGCATGTGGGGTCCTGAAACGGTCCTGTGACAGTGCAGGGGTACCGGCGGGAGGTTGTTACGGGTGAGCTCAGAGGGAGGGCCAGAGGAGCCCAGTTTGACGGGTCTGTCGAGCACAAATGTGGTCTGTGCCTGCAAGAAGAGTGAGCCGCTGCTCAAGGGGTATGACAAGCCAGCCTCCTGGAAAATAGCACTCTGAGTCCTTTGCAAAAGAATCAAATGAGGAACAAGGCTATTAGCTTGTGTCAAACTGTGTTTGATAAAGAAATGGAAATCCCTTACTCTGCCACAAAGACCAAGGAGAGGTAGGATCATGCTGTGACACAAATAAATGAATAGTGAAACAGAAATGGAAAAACACGGGCCCAAATATTACAAGAAAATATCAGACCTTGAAATGATTGCCTGTCTTAAGCAATAGACTATAACAAAACATACGTTACAAATACGATCTAGTTGTGTAATCTAGTTTTGCTATTACACAGAAATGGATTTGGGACCATAACTGTTAAATTCTGCACCTATCTCCCTATTTTTATATCACATTAGGAAAAAAAGAAAGCCAATGCCAACAAATACCTGCACCTGGGGAGCCTTGTAACTGTTCATTACCAGACATATGAGGCATTAGCTGAGATATTTATACAGAGATGCCGGTGCTTCTTTTTTTTTTTTTTTATTTTTTCCTTTGCACTGCACTGTTAGACATTCCTGTTGTCTCTTGTTCTTCTAATAAGCTTTGAGGGTCCAGAGCCTCATCCCCCCCATCTTGTAGAAATAAATATAATAATCAGGGCTTCTTATCAGCACAAGGACACGCCTGCACAGGACCGCTTGCAGGATGTGGCCCTTGCAGGATTGCTATCTCTGTTGTTACACACGAGCACCACGTTCAATTTACTAACGCCTTGCTCCTGAGCTACGGATGGTTACGGAGAGTAACCGTGTTATTTCTGCACACTTTTTCCTCCCTCAATTTCTCTCCTCCCAACCCAGCAAGGACTTTTTTGAGCATCGGGACCGGTGACGTGGGGTTTCCCTAGGGGATAGCTGAGTTGAACTCCCACTGTGGATTCCCCGGTGTCGGTTGGATGCTCTTGGACTCGGCATACAGACGTCCCACGCGCAAGAGCAGTAAAAAATATTGACCTCTCCTACACGGCTATCCATTTTTCTGAAGTTTGTAGCCTTCAAAACGCAACTGAAATTGCTTAACTGGCTCAGGAGTTGGCACGCACACAGAGCACCACCGCACAAGCCGCATTTCCTTAGGAAATCAGGGTTGGGAGGGCTGGCTTTTCCTCTCTCATAACCGGGGGCTCTCCTTTCGCTCCGGTGTGCGTTTCTGAAAGGCTCTCCAATCCCACCCTGCGGTTTTTGCTTTTTTTTTTTTTTTTTTTTTTTTTTGTGTGTGTGTGTGTGTGTGCTGGCAGGTTCCCTGACAGATCTCCGAACGCTTTGCGGCAGCTCTTCCCTAAGACCCTGGCCAACGAGAGACTTCCCACCTGCCTGGTCTCTTTTGCATCCCAAGAATCATCCCCACCCTCCTCTTCCTCCCAGCTGCATCAGGTGTTACGGCGGGGGGGGGGGGGGGGGGGGGGGGGGGGGCACCCTGGGGATGGGGAGGAGGCAATTTTTCCTCCCCACGGTGCCTTCGGCGGGTTTAGGACTCACCCCCTTGGGCCACTCTCCCCTGGGAGTAGGAGGCGGGGGGGGGGGCGCTCCCCAAACGAAGGGTTTGGCGAAGTTTTCTGGCGAGGGATGGGGCAAACGGCGAGGAAGGAGGAGAGGAGGGAGGGAGGGAGCCGGGGCCGGGCCGGGCCGGGGCGGGGAAGAGAAAAAAAGGGGGCACGGCCGGGAGGTGGAGCTGGCTTGGGCGCTCCGCGGCTGCCGGGCACCGGGCGCGGACGGCAGTGGGAGCCCAGCGCCGGCGGAGAGCCCGGTCTGTCCCCCTCGGGGGTGCCCGGTTTGTTCCCGGAGCCCGGTCTGTCCTCCCCCCGGGGGAGCTCGGTCTGTCCCCTGAGCTCGGTCTGTCCCCCCGGGGGAGCTCGGTCTGTCCCCCCCCCCCCCCCGCCGCCGGAGCCCGCTGCAGCCACCGGCAGGTAACAGCTCGGAACCGGGGGGGTTCGCTTCTCTTTGCTTTTCCTCGGGCTCGGCCAAGGGTGCCGGCTCCGCTTTAGGGGGGGATACCCACGGGAGGTTGAGGTTGGCGGGGAGGGGGGATGTGTCTCGGCATGGCGCCGTGGAAACCCCGGGGTGCTGGGTGTGCAAGTTTTCGGGGCTGAAACGCCAGCCCGCCTGACAGCAACGCCAGGAAGGGGGGGGGGGGGGGGGGGGGGGGGGTGCCGGGCTAACCCCCACTCTCCCCACCGGTAACACCGCTCCGGGAGCCCCTCTGGCTCGGTACCCGGGAGCCTCAGCCCTTGTCCTCAATATTTTTGTATTTTATCTCTCCCCCCCGCCGCTTCCCACTGCGAGCCCTGTAAAGACAAGCAGCGCCGGAGTGGGGGGGGGGGGGGGGGGCTGGAGGCTCAGCCATGTGGTCGTAGCGTTTTGGGGAGGGTGTGCCCCCCAACCCCAAGAGTTGGGGTGAAGAAGGCGAGAGGGTTACCCCCGTTCCTGACTTCACGCCAGTCCGGTAGGAAATTTGCTCTTTCCCGCTTTTGCTGCTCGGCAAGCTGTAACCCCCCCCCCCCCCCCCACCCCGGGTCAGGCCCGGCTTTTGGATCGAGATTTACAGCTGCCACAACATGTTAGTGAGGTGCCACCCCCCCGGAGAGATGCGGGTTTTATAAGCTGTACAGCTGGGCGCTTAGAGTTTTATCATAACTTTGTTATTAAAATGTTGTAGCAAGCGGGCAGACAGCATTTTCAGTACTTGGGTGGTTTTCTGGGAAGTTGAGTTGTAATTTCTTTTTTTTTTTTTTTTTTTTTTTTTTTTTTTCTCCAGCACTTCTCTCAGCAATTAGTAAGCTCAGCCTGATTACTACTTGTATTTCTATAATGAGAGGAAATTTGGACACAATTAATAGACTCTAGGCACATATTTCACTGAATAGCCAGTGGCTACCAAAGCTACTTGGCCAGAAGTGTGCTGGAGATGGCTGTGTGCCTGGCTGGGTGTACGCAAATCGTGAGCACAGGCTCGCCCTGGGTTTATACTAGTGGGTAAAAAGTGCGTGGAGTTATTAAAGAGTTGTCTTAATTCAGCAGGGCATATCCAAGCATTTGATGGATTCTACCAGTAAAATGCTTATTTCGGTATTTAGGGCTTTTGTAAGGAGCAGCAGTAGTTCTGTCTCAAAAGTAAAAACTGATAGGGATGTCACTGGGAGAAACAGGTACATTCTTCATCTATTTCATAATTTGGGGGGAATCTTTCAAATCTGACTGTGTGGCATAATGTACAGATGCACTTCTTTATAATCTGCTTTCACTGAAGTATTTGTGCAGCGTGTTAAAATAATTCAAGTGTTGGACCCTCCCTGGAAGGCAGTTAATGTTTCTGTATTTGTTGTGGCCGAGGTACAGCTTTCGTTGGCGCGGCCCAAAACACCACGCCGCACAGTTGCCATGAATTTAAGCGTAGCGGGGTGAGAAGAAGAAAGGAAGAGCTTTAACTTTTCCGAGATACTGCTGGCTGCCAGGAAAAGCGAGATAACATTTCTTCTGGCTGCCCCAGCCTTTCTCCAAAGCAGACATCTGCCACGAACCGCTTGGCTCTCCCCAAGTTGTGTGCTTAAACCCCTTGAGGGGTGCAGGTGGCCGGGTGGTTGGTATCTTTGGGAGAGGGACCGATGGCACCCCAAGGGTACTGGGGGCGAGGGGGGGGGTTGCCCAGGGCCGGCTCCGAGGGAGGAGGGGGAGGACTCGAGTGGGTGATGCTGGCGGTTTCCACGAGAGGGCTTGCTCGCCGTGCCGGGTGGGCAGCAGAGCCTTTGTGGGGACCAGGCACGGCGGGGGCAGCGAGGAGCTTGGGGGGGTTGGGGAGGGGGTGGCTTCCACTCGCGGGGTGAGTATTTTAGATTTCCTTTGTAAATTATGGGGAAATCCCTTTATTCATTCCCCTTGGGGTGCGAGGATGAGACATCCTGGGAAGAACACCAGTCTTCCGTTTCCAGGCTCACTTAAAACTTAGAGGGGATCCCAGGAACTTAATTTCCCCACAGTGGAAACGAAGAGGCTGAGTGTGTTTTTCATAAAAGAGGAGTGGGGTCTGAGTGTTTGCATCCTCGCCTCAGCTGATGGCAACGAATGACTCTATCCTGGCGTGATCTCATTTTTTGGCTGCTTTAACATGTATTATACTTCTCAGGGTGGGGCTGAGCGAAAGGGAAACGGGAATCATTGTGCGCGTATGAAAATGCTGAGCTATCCTTAAGTCCTTTGACAAGTTGCCCGCATATTGTTTAATTCAAATAATTTCATACATGCAGCATTGCAGGTTTGTTTTAAAAGGCAGAAGCTGTATCTGTAACCAGGAATAATACTGCAGTTCATAAAACATGAGGAACATCTGTTACTGTGACTTCAATTTGTTTCTCTCTCCTTGGAATAACCAAGTTGACAGCTCAGACAGTCAGGTTTAATGTCCTGTGCTAAACCTTTGGTCCTGCGTCCCGTGGCTAACGGTGACTCACAGAATCAATAAACCCAGCTCTGGCTCGGCGGGGGAGCAGGAAGGGCTTCAAACCACCTCACGCCGTGGAGCTGCTCCCCAACAGCAGGCGACGGCCGGCAGATTAGGGGGTTCGGGAAAACTGGGTCCAAGCACGTGCACTCGCCCCTTTCGGTGCGGTAGAGCTGGCTGGGATCTTGGCTTTTTCTCAGGATTAGGGCTGAGCAAGCGAGGGAGAGGGTCTGTCCTGCTGCAGGGGTAGTATTTTCCCTCCTAGCACCTTTTATCTTGCCTTAATCTATCCCAGGTTGAATACTGTAGGCAGTTGAAGTGGAGCCATCTCGTACTTTGATGTGTGTTCATTGGCTCGAACATCTCATTCTCTTGCCTGTTTTTTTTTTTTTTTTTTTTTTTTTTTCCTTTTTAAGTTAGTCAGCTCCCTTCCCACCCCACCTCTCCAAACAAAAAGAATTACAGCAGGGGAGGCAAAAAGTGAATTAAGTGATTTTGTATTTTTGTGAATGGGTTTTCTTGCTTTGCCCCTGCCTGCCTTCCTGCCTTCTGTAAGATCCCTTCCTAATTAAAATATTATGACTATCCTTATGGTAGCCCTTCACTTGTGGCAAGGATCCTAATTTGACGTCAATGAAAAAATACTAGTTTCTGGCATAGGGGCAGATGACATTTCATCAGTTAGTGCATGCCCATTTTTTTTTTTTATTTTTTTTTTAAACCACAGTGCTAAGACCATATGGGCAGATAATGAGTTTAAGCTGATGAACAGCTTTGCCCAAATAAAGGACTTTCTTCCTAGAAAACACGTTTTCCCTTTAAAATAAATAATGCAGTTCCTGTGTTTTTATTTAATTATCTTGAGTCCTGTCTGTTCTCACCAGGCTGCAAGAAAACAGACACAACTGCTCTGGGAACAGAAGCTACTGGATTTATGGGGTCGTGGGTCTTAGATGAGGAAGGACTTGAAAAGAGAAGTTCAGATGCTACAAAACTGAGGCTTAAGGTATCTAAATAAGCAGATGGTGGTCTAAGTTGTATTTGGAGAGTTTTGTGAGGTAGTGCATAGTTCCTTACATCTTGAAGGTGAGTCATTGCATGAGGTGGTAGTAGGTCTAAGGTCTGTTTGGGAGCTGTAAATAAAACAGATGAACATCTCTACTCCTTGCTAATCCTGTGAGGCTGCGAAGCAGTCCTTGTTTGGGGGTGTTGTGGCAAGATAATCCCTACTTTTGCTTTTTCAAGAGTTTTTGACTAATGTCAAATGATTTTTTTTTTTCCTTTGTTTGTTTAACTTAAACTGACTTATCAATAAAATGGGAGGGAAAGATTTTGGATCCATTTTTCTGGTTTTTGAAAAAAAACCCACACGAGTAGTGCAGTAAGGATTGGAAAGTAACTTGCTTTGGGAAATTGTGGTCTTTAGTTTTCACTTTAAAATAGTGAATCAAAACCAAGTAGTGTATTTTCATGAGAGGACAAAGCCTCTGTGTTTCTCCCCCAAGACACATAGGAAAGCGCTGTTTGGGATCTGAAATAGCTCAGTCCCTTTTAAGCTATTTCTTAGGAGTCCTCTTTTTAATTTTTTTTTTTCTTTCTTTTATTTTTTTCCCTTGGAAATGATTGTTAATCTTAATTGGAAGTAGCAAATGAAGGGAGAAAGAGGTTGTACAGAAAAATCAGTCCAGACAATGCCATTCTTTCTCATGATGCTTATTCCTTCTAAACCTTCCTTAAATACTTTGTGTTGTCCACTCCCTCCCTTCCCACCACTTCTCAGCACTGGGAAGACTACTGGACTTTAATTGTATTTCATATGAGGATATGTTCCAGATGTCTAGAGCTTTTCTTTCTGATGGTCACTGCTATCTCATTTACAATTGGTATGACAGCTGAGTTGCATTTGGTCCTACCATTGCTTGTGACTGCACAGTTCAGCATTCCTCGTGTCCATTCCTTCCCCTACACCAACACTTCTTATTTTCTTTTCACTGCTCTTACAGTCTTGAGTTTCCAAAATGATGAATGAGTTATCCTATCCTTTAGTTCCAGAGGATTCAGGTGAATTCAGTGCCCACCAAATAGTTGATGAGACTTCTTTTTTCCTTTCCCCAGGCCCCCCACCTCTTGCCTTCAAGCATTTAGCAGCTGCTTTGTTGTTTATCATTTCTGCATTGATAAAGATCTGTCATGGGCTAATTTAGTATAAATTGTCTGAGACTGAAAGAAGTGGCTATAGGAAGGCGGTGCATTGATCTTTTTTTGTTAACCCAACCAGCTGCTAAGCCAGTTTCTCAGCATGTTTTTATTTATTTTTGCACAGATAAGATTTAAAGAAACAAAGCATAGAGATATTTTACTCTTACAAGTTGACCCCAAATGGGATTTGCTTCTGCACCTCTGCCACTTTCTGTTCTCTAGCAGTGGGTGTGAAGGATTTCCATTTTCCCAAAGATTATAAGCAGCAGCATG